TTGTGTGACAACAGCAGGTGTGAGGGAACCCATGACAGATTTTATTTAATTATGATTAAAGATTGGTAAATTACTTCCTTAACATAATCCAGTTGTAATATTTTTCCTTTCAGTATTTTTAGCCGATGTTATAACTCAATTCACACCCTTCTCTCTAGAATCCTTTCTGTAAGGCTGTCAGTGACGACACTGCCTGAGTATCCCATAGAAATTGGGATCTAAGATTGACAGTCACAACTCACAGGAAGAGACCAAGTCTGAAGCTTTTGGGGACAATCTGTTATATTATCTGTTATGTCAGACCAGTGTGTGGAACCTTTTTGTTAAAAAAATAATTAAAAAAAATGCACAGCAGTAATTTCTGTGGTGCCACTAAAGATCAGGTGCCATGATCGTCCTATCACAGTTCGGGCAGATTGGTGACAGCGTCCCCCCGCCAACAAAAAAGGGGGATGCTGAGGGTGCATGTGGTGGAGTAGGTGGAGCGTGGTTTTGTGGTGCAGGACCACAACATTTTTTTTATCAGGTGATAGAGCAGAGCACAAAGAGGCACAATGCAGTTGCTTAAAGTGTTTCCACCACCTCACGGTACCAGGGATGGGAGATGTGTGCCATGTGACGCAACCGTCCCCAACGTGGCGATGCAATGCATTGCTCTCCATGGCAACGGTCGTTAGGCCCCACGCGGGATCAGAGGCTGTGACTCTGAGGTGACGCTGAGCGCTCGCGTTCAGTCTTCCGTGCGCCCCGTGGTTTGCGTTCAGCCTGAGCATGGTCTGAACACGCTGATCAGGCACATTCTCCCTAATGGGTAAGGTCAGCAGCCGCACCCAGGAAGTCAGTGCCTTACCAAGACCAGTCAGCCAACAGTTAAGCATGACTCTCCACGTTACTGGACTTTCTTTGCTGTTCCCGCATATAAAATGTTGTTCTGGAGCAAGTATCTTACAAACAAAACACTTGCCAGTAATAACTATATGGTACTGCTGCTATGAAAGCATATATTACCCAGCTAAGTGCATACTGTGTGCTATGTAATAATAGTATGATTTGTTTAAACTGTAGTTATACCCTGGAGTCAGGCCAGAATATGGATCAATGTTATATGGGGGAGGGAGGAGGCACTCAGTGATTAGCAGTCTAGCCTGGCATCTCCTGGGTTGTGGGTCTGTGTTTGTGTGTGATTCCTCCTGCACTTTATAAGCATTAAGTTAAGCTAACAGAGGCGTAAGCATCCCTGATCCTGGATTCCCTACCTGGTTTTCCATCCTACCTGATGAGTTCCTATCTACCTGGTTTATCAGAGACCAGGTAGGATAGAAAACTTGCTGGCTACTGGCACTGCAGGGTTAGGGTTGCCTGCCACTGTGGGTTTGTGCATGCCCTGTCATGGTCTGGCATTCTGTGTGTGTCCCGTGCTCCTGCAGATTCCCTGTGACCCAGCACGGGATAAGCGGCCATAGCAGCTCCTGTCATGTGGACTCAAACACAGAATAGCAAACATCCAAAGGAGGAGCTGCAGTAGTTTATCTTTGCAATAATGAGTTAATGAGGTAATGATTTAATCACCAGTGCCAGAGTTTGACGACACGGAAAGTAGCTTGTTCTTTAATTGGTCAGAGTCGGTTAAGTCTGAGAACGTGTGTCAGATCTCCCTGTCCCAGCTGTGGTGTAACCTGATGTTTGTCAGATGCCAGTAAGTCAATGCACATGCTTCAGAGGGATTGATCTGAAATGTCTGCATGCGACGGTGGCACAGCTACCATAAGCTCTAACAGTCCCCGTAAGGGTGTGCCCCCCCCCCCCTTTTTTGGTTCAGCCTTGTGTGGTTGACAGCCTTAATTTGCATCCTCACCCAGGAAGTCAGTGCATTATCAGGACCAGTCAGCCAATCGCTGCAGAACTGAACTGTCTGATTGTGGTCCTTATTTAACCTCTCCTAACCCAGGTATTTGTCTAAAAGCAGATAAAAGGTCATCTGCTTTTAATATCTGTCCATTTGTTTCAACATCAGATGTAATATTATACATGCCGCCAGTATAGAGGTATTGAAGCAGTACTTCACTAGTGCATCACCAAGGCAGAATGATGCTTCAGTGATCCACCCTCTAAGGACCTCCTGTTTACTCACACACTTTTGAAAATTTGTGGTTCGGGTGAAATGATGACTCCAAATTGTTCTCCGCTCACAACTCATGTGTGAAGGTGTCAATGATTCACGACAGGCGGGTGGCGTGTCCGAGACGCACCCTGCCGCCGCAGTTACACACGGAGCGCTGCATCCGGTGATCAGTTGCTGAAGGTGGTTGATTGTCACTTCCACCGGGGCGCTGCTCGGCACTTGTCACAGTCAGCAAACCCTTCATTTCCATGGAAGCAGCCGGAAAGGTGTAATCTGAAAGTCTGCCACCTCCAAGCTGCCTCCCCAAACCCTCCAAATAAACACACACACATGCACACACGGAGACATGACTCATACTTCTGGATTCCTCGCGTTCATTGAAGGGACTCTTGTCATCGTTTGACATCTCAAACAATGTGACAGGGGAATACTCTGATGTGACAGTGCTTATACTCTTTCTGAAAGAGCAATCGACAGCATATTCAAATTCTATAGTCTGTAGTTCCCAGGGTTTGATGCACATGACAAGTTAATGAGGGAAAACAAAAACTCCAATTTGAAGACTTTAATACTTTACATTATATAGTTTTTTTCTTGACATAAACATAATGATAAACTCATTTAGATGGCCTTTTTCTTTACCCAGGCAGCCATTTACATCAAAGCACAATATAATCTCAATAAACCTAAAATGAATCTATTGCCCCTGAGATTTTTTTCTTTAAAAGAAGTAATGGCTTCTGAAAGGAACGGTGTCACATTTTCTGAGAGGGATGGACTTAACGGCACCATAGTAAGTGACAAGCTCTGAGACAGTATAGCAAGGCAGTATAATCTTCAGGAAACTTCCTACGTGGGAACCGCTTGCAGCAAAAACTCAGCATCTGTCATGTTTCATGTTGGTCGGCCTTAACCATCAAAACATTCATTAATTTAATGGTGCAAATAATTTTAATGATGTACTTAGAGCATAAGTAGAGAAGGCCATAATTTTTGGTGCAATGGGAACATAGAAACTGATTTGGTTTTTTATGGGATGAGGTACACTGTTCTAGGGAAAATTTGAGGGTCGTTATGTGATTAGCTGAAAGAGTGGTTGCTTAGGATGCACCAAATCATTTGGGTGGCATGGTGACTCACTGGACATCAATCTTGCCTCCTGTGTTTGGGGTTCAAATCTGCCCCTGGCTCAGCATATGTGAAAATATGTTACCTATATTGCACATCTGGACTCTCCTGTTCAAAGACAGTTAGATAAACTGCTATATCTCTCTTTCCCACAGTGTGTGTGTGTGTGTGTCTGTGTTTTTTTTTGTTTTTTTTTTGGGGGGTGGGGGGTTGTTGTATTTACCATATTGTGGGGACAAATCCTATGACTCTTTATATGAAACTTTATAACTTGTGGGGAAATTTTTCAGGTCCCAACAATATAAACCTCAATCCTATGACTCTTTAGCTTGTGGGGACTTTTTTGGGGACTTATGGTTAAAGTTAGGGCTGGGTATGGTTTTGGGTCATCATAGTTAAGATTACAGTTATGCCCATAGAAATGGGTGGACAGTCCCCATTATGACAAGTGTATATGAACTGTGTGTCTGTGTACACCCACGCACGCACGCACGCCCTGTGATGGACTGGCATTCTACCTGGGGTGTCCCCTGCTTTTGGTGCTTTTCCACTGGCATACAGGAACCGACTTGTGCCACGCAGAGAGACTAGTTACAGCGTAGTTCCTGGTAGCTCTGCTTTTCCACTGCAGAAGGCTCGGCTTGGTAAAGGAGTTGCCGGGATTGGAGAGCGACAGTGACGTAAAACCAAAGAGACGCTTGTTTACTGTTCACACGGTGTACATCATGATTTATTATGCGCTAATTTCCGCTAGCACATCTGTGACAATTGCCATGTTATGTTACCATCGTTATGTTAGCGGAATTGGCATTATCTTGCAACAATTTGCATTATGAATCCATTCTGTTCAGCCCTTCTATTGTAATTTTTAAGTAGGAGGTTGGAAATTATTGGTAATGCATAAATAATGTATAATATATGGAATATGTCCCTTTTTCCTTCACATAATACATGAATATTGACGCAGCTCGCTGGTTCTTTTTTGTCCCTTGTGTATTTCAACCAATCAGATGATGGTGATGCAACCAGCTCAGTTTAAACTTTCATACTTTACAATGGAAAACTGTCAGTTCGCAGTACCAGCTGGGTACAGTTCAGTTCCTGGTGGCAGTGGAAAAGCGCTGTTAATGTCCTATGTGGGTGGGACGGCTCCCAGCCCCCTTTGACTCAGATCTAGATAAGTGACTGGAAGATGAATTGATTAGATAAGTCTAACTACCCATAGACCTCTGTTACCATTATAGGATAAATACATTTATAAGCCGAACAGTCACTGCAAACAAATACCTTATTTGCATGTAATAATACTCATACTAACTGATAAATAAGAGATTCTCTGTGTCACACAGCAACTGAGCAAAAGACCATGGAGCCAGAAGGGTTTATTCTGCTGGGGCACCTTTACAGACAGACAGACAGAACTATTCTATATAAAGAACAGCCTTTGTCTGGACGGCATCAGTAATACAATTCAAACAAGTATTGCCATAAGTAGTCCTGAATCTATTAGCCTACTTATTCACAAATGAGGCCGCAGATTGGCAAAGAGTGAAGCCTCGCTGTGATTTATATAGCTATAGATGAAGCATAGCGTCTCTACTATTCTTTCAGAAGCAAGGAGTGACTGGGAATGATGTAGTGTGAGTATTTCAGATGCGGCAGTACTCCCCTGGCGTGGGGGCTGGCAGTGGGTAAGCCTCATACACGTTCTGTGTGGCAACTCTGAATAGCTTCACTGCTGACTCTGAGCCTTTCGGTGACTAACAGATGCCTTTACACTCGGTTTCATTTGAAGTGTGAGAAGAAACTAGAAAGTGACAGGCCTGCATAGCAGGATAGGAAACGTGGTACAGTGACAAATTATGGACAAAAGCCCCAAAACCAAAGCAGCCTATATCTGAAGGTAGGGCAAGGTTAACAAAGTGGATATATATTTTTTTTTATAAAAGAGCGACTTATTTGACAACATCTGGAACAATTGGGGGTCAAGGGCCCTACTCTAGGGTCCAACAGCAGAATCACTGGGGTTTGAACCAATGACCTTATAAGCACAGCATCCTAACCTGCTGAGCCACACACTGCCCCCTACTGTACAACATTAATTCAACAATTAGAGTTCCTGTTTAAAATTGAGCTTTCTTACAGACTGTGAGCTCAGTGTCAGCATTTGTGTATAAAATGAGAGCCTCTAAGACTGGGTTAAATATAGTGTGCCAGTGTGGCTAGTAATGTTGTGACTCTTGGGGGGAGTTTCCTCTCACAGTCCAATGATAAGCATAAATCGGTGTCTTTAAATTGGCCAAGCTGTCCTTGCTTTCGGTCCAATACAGAGATTAAGCCCCCCATGACATTGTACTGGACGACAGGTTTATGAATGTTAAGTTACATAACTTTTTTTTCTTCCAAAAATACCTACACACCTTCTATACTAACGGCAAAATTGCATTTTTGAATAAATGTTTTTATGGTTTTTTTTTTAACAGCAAGATTACCTTTTTCCTTTCAAAATTGAAATTGAATTGCAATTTCAAGGATGAGGCGCGCACACACACACGTACTGTACACACACATTCCACCTGCTCACCTGTCCCTTTCTGTCTAACGGGATTGCCCCCCACCCGTCCCTGGCCAGCACGCAGGCGTGGTGAATCGTGCCGCAGGCAGGGGGCGGCAACATGGCGGAGAGAGTGGTTTAGCCTTCAGAACAACATTAGCTTAGTGACTTCACCACTGTCATTACTGGCTGACACCTAGAACGAATTAAATTTTAAGATAAAGTGCTGTTCCTTACACAATTTTAAATACGACATTGCCTGGATACGTATGCATTTCTATGCATACATGGGCGAGAGTGTGGATTTCATTTGAAAGGAGAATTACCCTTATAATATTCGAGAATTTTCTTTTCCCCCTTTTCCTTGATGCTTTTGTATAGCCGGTCGTGATATTAAGCAGGTGCTGTCGCTCCGTCGGATTCCGGTGGAAATGTCAAGCGAGAAGTCCATTTCTGTACCGGGTTCGGTTTCTCTGTCGGACCGAGAACCTCCACCTAATCATGGGCAACAGGGGGCTACTGGCTCGGGTATCCGTGAGATGATGGTGTCTGGGTCAGGCTCGATGGTTCTGCCCGCCGGGATGATCAATCCCTCGGTTCCGATCCGGAATATCAAGATGAAATTCGCCGTCCTCATCGGTCTGATCCAAGTCGGCGAGGTCAGCAACAGGGACATCGTCGAGACGGTTCTGAACCTGGTAAGAAAATCACAGAGCTGTACAAGTCCCTCTTATTTATAAATAATAATAATGAATAATCTGCGCGGGCCGTATATATATGCTATACGTGCTGCATTTCCCTGTACAGGCAATGGCAGGTACAACACTTAGAGTTGGCAACACTTACATGCAGAAAAGATATTCTGATAAGCTAAGCGACGTATAAATATCTATACGCGGAATATCCAAACATTCCCATTATGACGCGCTTTATTCTGTAACGTGGATGTTTCTCTATAGCGCTAAGCAGAGTTCCGTGGATGGTCTTAAATCCACAAAGAAAGCTTCATCATCTCTGAATGAAGACATGATCAGTAAAAAAGGAACGAACATCTAAACAACCGGGCAGCATAAGTGGCCCTTCTTATTCCCAATATGCTACTTGTCATGAAGTTCCGCGTCTCTGCTTTGTAGAAAGCGGGGTTTTATAAAGTCCTGTGTATTCAGCTACTTAAAATCTTTTTCCACAGACTGTTCTTTGGCGTTTTATTTTTATAGGCCACCTTCAGATCGTGTTATAGAAAGCGAACTGCAGACCTGGAGGTGTGACGATGTGACAAGTAGCCTGCCTTGCACGACTTTACTAGTCATACAGTATAAAGCTAGGTTTATATGTATTGGATACCCCCTGCATCTGAAATAGTCACTGACATATCGGAAGTGGTGATGCTGGAATCAGTTTTTCTGGTCGTTTTTGGGTCATATATGATTCCGATTAGTAGAGTAATATGATAACTACGATCGGGAGTTGAATGGCATAGAAAAAGTCTGAATCTTGTTTTACAGAGAGATTCTATGCTCATCATTGACTGATAACATGTTAAACCTGGGCTAGATCCTGGAGTGCAAATATCTGGTGGATAAAATATGTAGAAAAATGCTTAAGATATTAGTTTTGTGGTTATCCTGACGGATGCTGTCTTCGTTTCCCTGTATCTTGCATTAACTGTTTCCCCGGCTTCACCGCATTACTGTCTGCTAGTGTCAAATCATGGACGGTGCTCTGACCCTTTTTTGCGCTAATATTTTTTTTTTTGTTTTTTTTTTTTTGCCGTTTTAATTTTAATCGATTGAATTGTTTTCAGGTTCTCCTAAAAACTTAAACACATTTTAAAACGAAGATCTTAAAGGTTACACTAAGTAGAACATGCTACGAAAGAGACGAACTCTGCTTTTCCCAGAGATGCTTGTGAACTGATAAACTCTTGGGTGGCTACAGGCAGACAAGCTGGTGCTGGTGATGTTAGTTGTACGCAGCTAAACAGGCCTCCGATGCTTTACTGTAACGCTGCGGAACCGGCGATGTCGCAAAACGGTGATTAAACGCTAGTAAGTTAAAATCAAACATTGCTCAGAGCGCCAAAACTGCAGTCTTAATTGGACAAGCTGCTATGTGCACAGTTGTGAAAGGTCAATTGGTCCACACCGACCGCATTATCGATTTAGACTGAATGCCTTAGAGAGAGCACCTGTAGATTACCATGTATTATTAACATACCTTACGGGTGGCTATACTATTATGTGATTTATACGCAGAAATGGACACCAATAAAAGTATGATAAACGTGTATATGTAATCGGGCACTGACCGGTTACATACAGTATACATTGTGTTGATTTGACATGCCTCTTTCCTTCTGACTTGTCCATTCAAAGCATATATTATCGATAGCCCCTTTAATTTGAAACGAGCTTAGGAAACACAATCTGTCCGTACAAGTATAGAAAACAGAAATTTCGCAAGCTCAGAAGATATTACAAGGAGTTTACTAGCATTGATTGAATTAGCCTGCTCATGAGCGATCTTAATTAATAAGATGAAATAGATATAGCGGGCTTTGCCTTTCACAGATTGACTGATGGCCGCCAATAATGTAATACGGAGGTACCGGGCTGGGATGGATGGCTCGGGCTAAGAGCATCGTTTGTTTTGTGACTTTTTTTGAAACATGAGTTATGGTTTATGATCGCAAAGGGACAATTAGCAGATGCGCAGCCGTTTACCCGAAGAGACGGAAATTGTGCTTCTGCCCGAGAGCTTACAGAAAGTAGCTTTACCTGGATATTATCAGCTGTGAACTGCGTGATGTGTTATTTCCCGATCAACGTTTAAATGTTTCCTGTTTCCTGCACCGTTGCTTGACAAAACAATGTACAGTAGGCTCCTTTAATCAAGTCGGCTGACTGTTGTTGCAGTGGTACAAGGGTGTAGATAGGGGCATGCCGATCCCTACCAGTCCCTACCAGGGTTGTGCATGGGAGTACGGCGGCTTCAGGGTGAACTGGTACCTACCATAAATGTACGCGAATAACATTATTAACTAAAAACCCTGCAAACTGGCTTTAGTTAGTTATTTTCCTTCAGAAACAGTATAACCCAGAAGAATATGTAACTTCCTACTAGAGTTAACAGGCCAAAATACTAAGAAACTCTCATTTGGCTGAGATAGCCTGGCCTCTTCAGGATATTAATTTTTCATCCGTGTTTGGCTTTGCAGCTAGATAACCCCCTTCCAAATATGTATTTTACTTAAGTAGTGCTTGATAGCATGATTCTCATAGGAAACAGTATTTATGCTGACCAATAAAGCTCTTATTGTATATTTAAAATGACCGAACGTTAAACTGTTATATTATAGTTATCAGGGGTTTTTTTGGTTAAAATCTCTCAATGTGTTTTTTTGCAATTTAATTATTTACGGTTACTATGTTTTTTCCCTTCTGGCACTTTATCACTGTCCCTCAACATCGGTCTGGAACAAACAACCTTTGAGGTTAGATAATTTGCATTGGTCACATAGTATTAGGTGTATCCTGTGTAATTTAGGGTACGTAATTACATACTACTCTGAATAAAAATAATATAAAAAGTGTGTGAAATCATTTTTCTGAACAACATGCAGCTCCAGAACAAAAGTGAGGCGAGGTCCTTACCTGCTCCACCAGCAGAGGGAGCTATGGAGAGGAATGCAATTTGCCCTTGTAATTACTGTAGGTCCCTGACTGTAGGTGTTCTTTGGTCAGTAGCACCTTTGTGGTTCAGAGAAGAGGTGGAGTCTGTGGGGACGATGGATGAGGAAGACCTTAGGTGCAGCCCTACACCGTGTTGTGTCCAAACATGGGGTTTAGTTGTTTTTCTGAAGTGGAGAATGCTTGCACAGCATCTTGTCACCCAGGTGTGTGTGTAAGACTGAGAACTCCCAGGACTTCCAGCATTCTTATCTCAGCCAATCCAGCTGGAGGAGCGTGCCTCGCCTTCATGCCAATCTTCGTTGTTTATCTGCCTGTCGATTGTTGTTCTGCCTCAGTTGGGCAACATGAGAACATAAATCATTATGTCTTATGCACAATGCCCACTCTCTGTCTCGCCCGCTGCACTTCAAAGACCACATGATTTGTTTGGGGAATGGTGGTGGGGGGGGGGGGGGGGGGGGGGGTAGTGCCGTGGTGCAGCATTTGGTGTAATGTGGCTTTCCTCTGATCAAGTCATCTGGCCTGAATCTGTCGGGTTTAAGTTCAGTGTCTGGTCTGGGTCTCTTCTTGGCAAGGACACTTCAAATAAACAGCCATGTAAATCTTTTATCCACAGCGAGGTCTGCAGTCTCGCCGGTTTGCCGGAGTTTGCTGCCGATGATGTACTTCTGCTCTCACGGAGCTCTGTGGCCTTGGTTGGTCCCACACGAGCCTTCACCTGTCTCTCCGGCAGCGAGCCGAGCACAGACCCTCCACGTAGGAAGCCTGGCTCCAGCGCGCAGCATTTTAAGTCCTCTGAGCCACGTCGGTGACCTGACTCCTTGTCACCTCGCATGCTGTGGGGCGACGGTTTCCATGGGAACCATGCACTGGGGCAGATTTTCCAACTGGCCTCTGTAACCTTCCTGGTACCTGAGTAAACAGCCCAAAAGCAGAAGGACAAGGAAAAATAAATGGATTTGGTGATTTAAAGAATTTCTTTTTTTAAATGTCAGTCTTTTTCTTTCTTCTTCCCTGCGTTGATGCCTGTTTTCCCGTCTCCTGGAATTGGATGTTTGTGTTCATTTAATGAGATTGAGGATGGGCACATTGGAGAACTGAACTGAGAACAGATTCATCTCATTCTCATCATCATCTCAGTGTGCAATGTTCAGATTAAGCATCAAGATAAAAAGAAACCCCTTTGTTCTGATGTCTTTTCATCTTTCCTGACTGCTGATTTCTTGCTGTCGTGAACATGTGTGACGAGTGCTGAAATAGATTAGGCTTTTGTTAGCAAAGGAAACTAAAGGAAAATAAAACACTAAAAGTGACTGATAATGAAGGAGAAAGGTCACCTTTCACCGGTGTTTACTAGTTTAGCAAGATGGCACAAATAAACTGCTTTTCAAATGGACCATTCCCGTTAATTAATCAGTTAATAGATTTTAATGATTATCATGAGGTGGCCTGATGCAAGGCAACTGCTATTACATGATGCAAAAAAAGTAGACGCGTCACATATTTTCTGTTTTTGTGGTACATGACAAGGCCCTTTGGCATCCAGTGTCCCCCCTCTATGTGGCCTTGTCAGGACATGGTGTCCCTGTGACCTTAGCAGGCAGCCAGCTGGTGTTATGCTCCCAGAGTGTGTCCCCGAGTCCTCTTGGCCACTTGGGTCAGAAGAAGGGTCACAGGAATGCAGTGAATGCGTGCAGAGGCTGGGGAGAAGGCGTGGCTCTCCAGCGGTCATGTGAACGGGACCAAGATCGTGTGTCCTGGCGCAATACAAAACTGAACAGATGGCAAGAAATGCATTTTTTCTTGCGACTCTGGCGCCCTGCTTTTTTGTGCCTCGTCTTTTGCCGTTTAGCAGCAGGTGAGAAAGACGCACCTGGCTTGGGGGTGTGGGGGACAGAGTAGAGCGTGTAAGAGAGGGCAGGAGAGGACACGGGGTGTCTGTTGTTTTTGGGTATGCTGGAGACACTGCATGTTAGCAGTTGCAGGGAAGATGCGTCCTGAACTCA